ACTGAAAATTGTGCTGAACACTGGAATTTGACACAACATTGTAAAATGATTATAAATCAATAAAAAATGTTAAAAAAAAAACAAGCTGTCTGATAAACAATGTTCTTGTCCTGAGCATTACTTCTCCTTTGTTATGCCAGAATCTTCAGTAAAAGACTACTGCATTGGGTAACAGCATTCTGGTTAATAAGCATGTGAAGGTCGGGTAGGGAGAAGAGACAAACTGGGGAGAGGCTACGGGTTGGCAGGCAAAACAGCAGAAGCAGGACAGCAGCTGGCAGAAGTCAAGGTAGACGGCTGAAGTGGAGGTGGGCTGGAAAGTATATAGTGACTTGGAGAAGGAGGTGACAAAAAGCATGCAGACTATATGTCTGCAAGTATCTGCACTTGGGGGTCTGCTCTATGCCATCTCCTCAGAGAGATCTTCTATGATTCCTTTTCTGATTAAAAGTAGATCAACACAAGTAAAAATTCACTGCCCTAGGTGACTTTCTTTATAGCACTTATCATTGTTCATTTGTTTATCATATGTCTTTCTCATCACACTAGAATAGTGGTTTTCATCTAGGGGCAAGTTTACCCCCCAAGGGACATTTAGCAATGTGTGGAGACATTTTTAATCATCACAACTGGAGTATGTTCTACTGGCATCTAGTGGGTAGAGGCCAGGAATGCTTCTGGACACCCTAGAGTGCCCAGGACAGTCTCCCAAAACCAATTACCTAGCACCAAATGTCAATAGAACTAAAGTTGAGAAGATGCTTTAGAAGAAAAATTCCTAGAGGAAAAGGACTTTATCTTTTGTGTTGTAATTCCCAGTCCTTATAATATAACCTGGTACATAGTAAGTACTCAGTAAGTATTAGTTGAAAGGTTGATCATCATTTAAGTCCTCATTTTTTCCAGCTTGAAATAAGAATCAGTTTCTCTTGGACTCATATTTGCTACCATCTGTATGTTGATCTCTCCAGTTGGATCAGAGCAATAATATAAAACACATGAAAAGGCCCATTTTCTATGCATCCAGACCAGGAGACCACCTACATCATCTCTCCCTGAAAATTCTCTCTGTTTAATTTGTACAGATTAAAGCATGATTGGGGCAGTCAGAAATACAGCAATAAGTATCCTACACGTTGGAGTTGGGGGTTTGCAAAGAGAGTTCTAACCACTCTTTCCCTCAAGTGAGATTGGGACAGAAGGAATGCATAGCAAGCACACGGACAACTGATCAGAGCTGGGCCCACAATCTGGGTAACAAGCTGTAACAAGCCTGCAAACTCATCAACCTCCCACCCCAAAGCCCTTGAACCACTGTGCATCCAGCCATAGGCCAAAGTCAAATTTCTCCATTGGCACCAGACTACTCTTCTAAGAACATTATTTCTGTTTGGGGCTGATAGACTTTTTCACTGACATTAGCAGCAATCTGCAACCATTCAGCACTATCATGTCTCTGCAACATTAAAGAAAATTGCAGTGAATATTTCAGACTTTCAAAGTAATGCCCCTAGAAGCAGTGACTTGGAAGGAAGTGAGAAAAAGAATCCAGTAACAGAACACAGTCATTTTCAAATCTGCTCATGGGTATTCTCCCATTTAAAAAAAATCAGTATTATAATGAGAAGAAATAAAAATTTTTGTTTTTATATTACTTCCTTGGGAAAACAACATGGTAGTTTGGATCAGAGATCAAAGAATTGGACCATGATGACTGAGAAACTGTCCTAGAAACAGTCTGTCCACATAATAAGCAAGCTTCACGAGTCAAGGTCAGGACCCCATTAATGTCCCTTTGGGTTACCTGACTTTCTTGTTGGTCCCACTGACATATCTGCAGAACCTGACTCAGTTCCTGCCGCTGTTGCTTCAGGTACTTGTCTAGTTGCCGTCTCCTGTCTTGCAGAAGTTCAAGAAGGCTGTCGATCTTCAGGCAGCTGTTATGAGCTCCCTGAACCATCTCGGGATTTACATTAGGTCCATCACATTTGAATTTTTCTATGAAGTCAGTGAGTTGTTGACTTTTGTTTAAGAGAGCTAGAGATCGTTCTAAGAGTTCTAGAAGAGAATTAGAAAAAGGAATAGTGAGATGAGCAAGCATTTATAGAGTAAAATGTGGGCTCTTCATATAATTTAAAATATATGTAACTTTCATATGAATTCAAATGTGTAAACATAAAACACCTACAATACAACTGGTCGAATACCTCACCCTAATAATTGCTATGGCACTAACTGCTGAACGGTAGGACGCTGAATTTCAACAACAGCGTAATTCAGTGCGAGGAGTTGAAAGACAAGGGGGTTTGGGTACTGGTTCGGCTGGTTTTCAGTGGTGTGATGCTGGCTGAGCTGCCTACCCTCCTTGGAGCATTCTGCATCCCGAGGTGGCTGGACTAAATCTGAGGTTTAAAGGATATTGCCTGCAGTGACTAAACAAAAACTCAGTAAATGTGCTGGCCAGGTGCCAGGGACGATGGCAAAGCAGAATATGTGTGCTCAGTCTCACAGGATCAGCTGTCACCCAGTTCTGACCAACTGTGGACATGAGGGAATATGGGTTCAGTATTGATGTGGCTTCCAATTTTTTAAGGAATTATGAACATAGATTTTTATGTGAAAGCTTCTGATTTTTAAATGTTTTGTAATTTGCATTTTTAATTAAAAAATACTTAAGGATAAACAAAACATGGCTCTTTGCCAAATAAGCCACCAGTCTGTGCTCTCTGAAGTAAACAGCATTACAGGTTTGGGCAACATCTTGTAGAAATGGGAGTTCAAGCCTGAACATTGAAGGACCACTAGGAAGGGTGTGGAAAGGGGGAGTTGAGACTAACACTCTGACGAGCAACCTCACTTGGGGATCAATTGGAGGAGCAGTTGGGAAACTATCCACTCCCCAGAAGCCAGAAACCTAGGAGTCATCCATGATGCATCCCTCTCCCTAACCCCATCAATATCAAGACCTGTCTATTTCACCCTCTATCTCCTGCATCTGTATACTTTTCTCTACCCCCACTACAGAAAGCATCATCTGTTTCCTGGACTGGTGCAGTCACCTCTTAATTGCATCTCCTCTCCAATCCATTTCATCCATTCTCCATGTATTAGCCAGGAAGATTGTTTCTAAACACACTACGTCACACACACACACACACACACACACACACACAAAACAATGGCTTCCCATTGTTCTAGAATTAAGGACAGACCCCTTAACATGATTTCTGGTCTAGCATGATCTGGTCCCTATGTTTCCTTTCAGATCGTCTCAATCTCTTTATCTCCAACCATATCTTCTTTAAATACCTCACACATGCTGTACACCTTCCTGCCTCAGAACTTTTCACTGTGTTCTCTGCCAGGGACATCATTCTCCTCAATCCCTTCCTTCTACACCTTTATTCTACTCATATTTCAGGTCTTAGTCAATTGTCAATTTCCTCAAAAGACAAACCAGACTAGACCAAATCCTCCTATCAAGTGTTCTTACACCACAATGTTCCTCTCATTCACAGCTCTTATCACAGCTATAGTTCTACATTTACATGTTGGGTTAGTTGACTAACATCTGTCTTTGCCACTAGGCTCCAGTGCAATATGAGAACAGAGACCATGACTGTATTCCCAGCATTTAGCATAGTGACTGGCACAGGAGAGACATTCAGTAAGTTCTGTAAGATGCTAGAATGAAATCAAATGATTAAAAGAGGGGGGAGAATTAGGAGAGCTATAGATGCTAGAGATCAGCAGTCCTCTAGGGATGTAAAAAAGAGATGTTGGGAAGACTTGGGGTTCTGTGATGGGTAAGTAATAGAAACAGAAGCCCAGTTACCAGGTTGAGAAGTGGGAAGATAGTGATGAAGTCAGCAAGAAAGGACAATCTTTGAGACATTTGTTGTTAGAAGGGAAAAAAAAAGGATAGACTATTAGCAGGGTTAAATAAACTTTTTATTTTTAGGATGGGAGAACTTTAAAGAATCCAAAGAGTAAATACATCACTCTACTAGAAATGGACTAATCAGTGCTAAAAGCCACACATTCTGATTAGTTGCTCAGTGTTCTTTCCACTGTGCTATGGCACTCTACTTTAGCATCCTAGCATTCAGCAGTGAACCACACAGCAATGAGGTGGCTGTGGCAGTTGGGCCAACTGTCTCTTTTAATTGACATCTTATTTTGAGAGCTGGAAGAAAGACTGAGATAAGTGAAGATACTGTAAAGAGATATTTTAAGATAAAAAGGAAAGAATTTGAAATAGTTTATGCCACATGGCCTAGATTTGTCCAATAAAGTACTAGGTGGTATTATCTGCTCAGCGTGGAAAAGGTGAAATTAGGCGCAATGGGCAGTTTGGTTAGCAGTTAATAATACAAAGAAACAAACAACAAAAACAACCACAGACTTGAAGCAGGACAGGGGATTGGATAATTCAAACAGAAGAAGAAAAGTCAGGGAGAACATTAAAATTAAAGTAGATCTCTTAAATGGAGACATAGAAGCAAACATGAACAAGATGGGAGGGACAGGGGCAGAAAAAACCTATCTATTTAGAAAAAAATCTTATGTGGAAGGGAAAGGAAGAGCAGAAAATGAGGTGAAAGCAGGCTATAGAAGCCCTTTCCCATCAAACTGAAGAGTTTTGATTTGTATAGTATTCTGAAGTATAGTTGGTTTACAATGTTTTGTTAATTTCTGGTTTACAGCATAGTGATTCAGTTATACATATAGATTTGCATAGTTTTAATCAGTATGACTGATCCTCCATATATAGGCATATGTATTTCCTTTGTATTGAAGAGTTTGTTAGGACATTGCAAATAATTACACACACACATACACACACACACACAAACACACACACACACAGGAAGTATGGGCAGGCGGCAGGTCTCCACATAGTATTTCTTCCTGTCATTAACTAGTGACATCATATGGTAATTTCCTTTCTCTTTCTGGCTTACTTCATTTAGAATGACTATCTCTAGGTCCATCCATGTTGCTACAAATGGCATTATTTTATTCTTTTTTATGGCTGAGTAGTATTCCATTGTATAAATATACCACAACTTCCTTATCCAGTTACCTGTCAATGGACATTTAGATTGTTTCCATGTTCTGGCTATTGTAAATAGTGCTGCTATGAACATTGGGGTGCATGTATCTTTTCTAATTAGAGTTCCCTCCAGATAAATGCTCAAGAGTGGGATTGCTGGATCACAGAGTAAGTTTATTTTTAGTTTTTAAAAGAATCTCCATACTGTTTTCCATAATGGCTGCACCAAACTACAACATGATGTTCTTAACCTCATTCAATGGGCATTTTCAAGAATACACAAAAGTAGAGAAAATAGTATAACAGATCCCAATGGACCTATATCTAAACTACATTTAAAATATATATAACATTTAAGAAAAAGTAATTAAATGATTGCTTCTGCAAGGAAGTTTCTTAGATATTATGTTCATGTTAATAAAGCCACTGCAAAAACTGGCAGGTATGACTGTGATCCTCCAGAACTTGCAATTTTCTCTTCCTAACGTGCCTGCCTTGCTTATTGCTCACCTTTGCCTCATGCTACTGTGTCTTACATTGGAATTATATACAAATAACACTTAACAAACATACTTTGAGTCGACTGCTATCTAAGCCCAAGAGATTCAGAGATGTACTAGTCCCAGTCTTCTAGGATCTTACAATCTTGTGATGAGGACAAAGAGGGAAATGAATTATGACTACACAGAGTGCTGGGTGGTGTAAAAGAGGGACCCACAAGATGCACAGAGAGAATTCACCAATATATGTGTACATGCCTCATCAAACTGTAGGCTTACTGAGGACAAGGGCCAATACATGATTCTGATTTTCTCAGCTGGCATGGGTTCAGAAAATACTGCTTAATTATACATAGCTGAAATGAGGGCAACCAGAATGGTAAGTAATCTAGAAACCACATATGCTGGAAAAGACTTTAACTAGGCATGTTTCACCCAAAGGAGAGAAGACTGGAGAGAACATGTTACTCCTCAACTATTTCAATTACTGTCATGTAGAAGAGGGGACAAATTAATTCTGTAACTTTCCAGAGGGCAAAAACTTCAACCCATTCATTCTGGTTCTGACCTCCAAAATGCTATAGAGTAAGTCTTACATGCAACAGAGCCTTAGCATTGCTGAAGAAGGAAAAAGTACAAGTTTTGAAATAGAGTAAGTATTAGGGATAAGTTTGCTTACAGTTTTCCCAGTTACATTAGCTTTTTCATCCTAACATCATTCACAATCTGTGCTACTCACTGATCAGCATCTCAGAACCTTATTATAATTGCTAGTTGCAGTTACAGCTGTAATTAATTTTGTTAAATTTAAAGACAACATTGCTATGGTCTGAATGTTTGCCCCTCTAAAACTTACATGCTGAAATCCTAATACCCAGTGTG